GAACCCCAGAGTCACAATGAGGCACAGGATCTCCTCCTTTTGCAGGACTATGTGTACAAACTGACGAACACCCTCAGAACATTGGAAGACACCCATGCCGCATTGCAACAAACAGAACTCCTTGCAGGGGTTATCAACGAGCAAGACTGCAGAGACATTCGCACAGCCTGCTCGTGCATAAGAAGTCTGCGCATTCGAGTAGAAGCCCGTGCCAATGTTACAGAACGTGAAGTGATAAGTCGACAGCTACAGCTCATGCATGCGAGCGTACAACATTACCCAACAGAGGACCTTAACACAGCTGACACAAGTTGCCTATCCAGAACCTCGGCTGAACACTTTGAGGATAGACCTGGTCCCTGGGCAGAGAAAAACGCTCGCATTCCTATACCAAGGTAACTGAGCTAGCTACCATGGTCACCCGACCGCGTCAAGCAGTTGGTTGCAACACCTGCTAAGTGGACCGCTGATCATACAGCCAAGGGAGCCAGCACTTCATCTGAAGAGCTGAATGCACAAATATCGCCAAGCACTGATGATGAGTACAATCTCCCATACCATGAAGACCAATTGCAAGAGCACTAGTGCAGTGGTGATTACCGCAACCACAAATTTGATGCAATATGATGATTGGAAAAGCGGTTCTGAGAGGACTCTGAGTGTGCCCTGAGTGCCGTAGCCTCGACGTCTTTTTCACCTTAGATTACGTCTCACTCTCCTGTTTCACTGCGGTAGTTTTCTCACCACTTTGTTGTGACCCGGCGTTGTCGGTGTTTGCTTCAAAGTGTCAGGGTGAATGTTATGCCATGAAGGCTGCTCTTTGTGATCTCGGGGATCCTGGCTGGGGGGATCCCTGGTTTCCGCATTGAGCTTTGTTGCTTCTGCACCCTCTGGAGAGGCCCATTGTGGTTTTTGGAGTTGGTTTTTTGTCTGTACTTTCTTTATGGGCCTGCGTCAACATGGCACACAAGTTGTCGTTTGCATGCGCCGAGATGATACTAAGCTATCACCTCTTGCCTCACCAGATCTTTTTCACCCATAAACTGGAACCCGTCACGTCACTGTTTTGCGGTTGTGTGTTTGTTTGTGTTTTGTGTGGTTTGTTTTTGTTTGTGTTTGTTTTTTGTTTTGGTTTTGCTTCTGGGCTTTTGTGTTTCGGTCCTTGTTTTCTGCAACGTGACAAGGGAATAGGACTATGTACCGGTCCTCTACCAGTTTACTTTTGCGGCCACTACAGCTTCGGCCCCTGCGTGAATTAATTAATTAATCTCATATGCAACATGCTTGGAAACATGTTGAACGACCTGGCGGAAGCCATACGGCGTTGGACGGAAAAAAAAAATATCCATACCCGTCGCAATACCATCCAGAACCATCGTCCCACCATGTCTGCGAAACCCCCCATTGACCATCACAGCTCTCCGGCCATTGGTCATGCCACCAATAGTCATCATCGTCCCAACTCTCAGCAGTCCAGTCGGTCCAATCCTCTGAAACTTCATTCAATTTGCCTTCCTTTCCTTTTCCTTTGCTACCTTTAGAGCCTTTTCCTTTGGAACCTTTCTTGTCCCATGTGTCAGATTTTACAATTCCCTTACCTTTTCCATTCTCAGGGCAATTGAAACTGACATGTCCTGCTTTCCCACATCGAAAGCATCGGATCTTACTGACGTCCGCGTTGCATGAACCTGCAGTGTGCTTTCTGCTTCCGCACTTCCCGCATCGGCCTTCAACCGCGTCGACGTTGAACTCATCAAAGGAATGGTTCTCTACAACATTCCCCTCCAGAGAGTTCACTTTCTTATTGTTACCTGTTGTCTCGAAATCGCTGAACAGGCGTTGTTGCTCTTCCCACCGCATCGCAGCGTTCCGGTAAGACTCATAGTTGTCTGCGCCGCTGTGGTGGAGGACATAATTCTTCACTGTTTCAGGCAGGCTTTTCAACAGAACAACTAGCATGTCTGAGTCTGCCAGCTTCAGTCCTGTGGTGTCCACCTGCATAGGGAGAGTTCCTAGTAACCTTGAGAACCTTGCGGCTTCATAATCAATTCTTCTGATAGTATCACTAACCAAGGTTATAGCTATATGGGTGACCCTTCAAAACGCAGAGCATTACGCACATAAACATATACCATATATATATATATATTTTTTTTTTAAAAAAACAAACATCAAACACATATTAAACAACCTAACATCAACCCCAAAAACATCAAAGACCACACGACGACACTCGCTCTCTCCCTCTCGAAAATACACTGCAAACATGACATGAAATAAACGAGTGATCTCACGCATTTGTTTTTCCGCTTTGGCAGTCGAGGGGAAATCTGGAAGTTTTCACCACCGCACATCATACATATGATTGTGCTTCACATCTTGTCCATTGACAGATTTCACATCTTTGGTTTCACTCATGTTTCACATTTTTACTTCGTATCCCCGTGTTTGCATAGGGTAGGGAAACGAGAAACGAGGGTGGGGCAAACACAAAATTTTTAATGGGCACACCCGCCCACCCACCACTGTTTGAGGCGGCGTGGTACATATATTTCACATGAATGCCACACCAATAAAGAGATTGAATGAAACACTGTGAAACCTCATACCTTTGCCTTGAGTTGCACGTCTGATTCAGGAAACATTTTTTTTGTGCAACCCTGAATAAACATGCATCTCGATTTAAAAATTGCGTTCCAAAAGATTTCATTTGAAACACTTCGTGTCAACATGTTACACACACAACAACATGTCAAATATACACTGTATTTGTTTTGTTATTGTGTTTTTTTTTGAAGGGCGTTCACATTGTTTACTTTCACCCTTAAGCTATAAACCGCTATTAGCAAGCTAAACGCAACCTTATAGCTATATGGGTGACCCTTCAAAACGCAGAGCATTACGCACATAAACATATACCATATATATATATTTTTTTTAAACAAACATCAAACACATATTAAACAACCTAACATCAACCCCAAAAACATCAAAGACCACACGACGACACTCGCTCTCTCCCTCTCGAAAATACACTGCAAACATGACATGAAATAAACGAGTGATCTCACGCATTTGTTTTTCCGCTTTGGCAGTCGAGGGGAAATCTGGAAGTTTTCACCACCGCACATCATACATATGATTGTGCTTCACATCTTGTCCATTGACAGATTTCACATCTTTGGTTTCACTCATGTTTCACATTTTTACTTCGTATCCCCTCGTCCGCTTCAGCTCATGTCATGTCGTGAGATTTCGTTCGGGTCTTTGATATGGGGCACTCAGGATCAATCACATAGATCTTTCCAAGAAAGCTATTTCTGAGATACTGCCTCTGCCCTAGGAGGGTCTCCAGGTTTGAGGAGGAAGGGACTCTGGCCGTCCACAGGTGCATGGGGTGACCTTCTTCGATAACCTCCAAAGCAAGTAAGACGTCGCGCCATTCTTTGAAGCTTGAAGTTCCCTTGACTATCACATCGTACGCAGGCCAGGCGTCAGTGAACCAGATCGCGCGGTCATTGCAAAAAGGTTCTTTTCAAGCGTTTAAACCAACCACTGCAGCATATAGTTCGACCAGGCCATGACATGAGTCTGGCCTCCTGCCTGCCACGCTCTCAGCAAACTGTCAGTTACATTGCATCCAAAACAAAGCACACTTCCTCCTCGGTCGATCATGACACCTCCGATGGTAGCTTCAGGTCTGCCATCAGTGTCGCACTCCAAAGCTCCGTCTGTAAACAACAAGCGAGGTTTGCATGGCATCAATGCTCGAATTTCTCTGGGTCTTCCCTTTGTGAATCTCTCCAGCAAAACCCGCAGCGCTTCTTGAGCTTCTGGGGTAATAGGGACCAACCCAGACTTGTGCACTGTTGCTTCTCTCAAATCGGCTAGGCAAGTTTCTCGGCACGACCCCCACAGTCGAGCCTCGGCAAACTGGAGCTTCCGCAAATAGGAGGGGAGCTTGCTCGCGTCCACAAAACCATATTGAAAAATTTCATTGATACATCCTGAGGCTTCCTCCACTCTGGAAGCTTTGTTCCGCACTCTGATACACCATCTGTCGCGCTCTCCAGATCGAGCTCCACTCCAAGCATCGTCGCACCTTGCTAAAGGGGCTCCAGTTTCTCACTGCTACAAGCAAAACCCATAGTTCGAAAATTTCCAATGCCGTCGACAAGGTGCTCTGTTCAACATATGCTCCCCAACACAGCCCAGCATAAAGTCCTACAGAGTGCCGAAACTGCTAACCCTAAGAAGGCGATGTACGCTTTCCGCTGCACCAAGGGCAACGTTCTCATCAAGAAGCAGGAGGGTTTGTTACGTAGCCTCAAACCAAAGAGACTTTGTTCCATGCAGGGTGCACATGGCCTCTCAGACCTCGCCAGTACTCAAAACAAACGCAACTTCACCAAATAGTCTCATATACCTCACCAGTGTCGCCAGTATCCAAAGAACATGTTCCATCGCCTTCAACTCTATCTTCTCCAACATCCAAAAGCAAGGTTAAGCATCGACTCCTCGAAACTGTCTATTGTCCTCAATTTTCTTCCTGCATTACTCCAATGCTGAACATTCCAAAGGCTGACATCAGTTCTGTGGTATTCATAGGGTTCAAAAGGCAGTTGTTTGTAGGCTGCTTTCATATCCACGCAAGATGGCTGGACGCAGGAGCTCGGGGAGATTGGTGTTCTTCTTCAGCTCTTCTTCACTCAGCTAGGAATGGTCACTCCAGGTTTGAATACGTCTGTGGACTCAAAGTTGCCTATACGTGCACCGACATGGATTGATGCACTTTCAGTTCTTCTGACTGTAACTGAACTGCTCTTGTTGACCATTTCTTCAAAAATTGGAATCTTTGTTTGGCCAGAAAGTGTAGTGGTTCGGTCAGGTACATGAAGAACGATTTGACCATGTTGTCTGGCAGGTTTCTTAGCTCATCAAGTGGGCGCCATCAAGTTTGCACAGCACACAGAGACTTGGAGGAATTCCCCCTGTTCGCTTCAGCTCTCAAGAGTTTGCTGCCGGCAGGATTGAGGTGTCTTCCTGCCTTTTGGCTGAACCTGTGGCAACATCCTGTCAGTCTTCGTCTGCAGTAAGGTGTTGTCCATAAAACCTTCAAGTATGCTTGCACACTGTTGGCACATCTGTAGCGGATATTCCGCCTCCCTTGTTGTCGCTGTCATAGCCCTAACCCTCTTGCTGGTGCGGTGCAACGTCGTCACAAATTGGACATTTCATGAAACTCATCTCTATTGGCTAAAAGAAAAGAAAACTTGTCAACTTCTTTCTGGTGCAACCGTACGCACATGCGTTGCAGCCAAATTTGATCCCATGAGCCATTGCAAAAGCGGAAAACGGCAAATCCCACAAAAGACTGTTCGTAGGGTTCTCATCGTCCATGGTATGTCGTGGGATTCCAATATTTCAACCAACCTTCCCAACTGCAATGAAGCAAGTTCGCCGCATCACTCTGGCACGGTCGGGTGTGACTCTGACCTCAAAAGTTGAGGGCCCGCTGAACCATCTGCCATCGGAATCCCTCTTGCTTTGCTGCATGTCCCGCAGGAGTCCCTATGTGAACTCCCAACAACACGCAGTTGTGGATCATTTCAGAGATCCTGTCTATTGTGCTGCACTTAGTTCTTTGCCTGTTTGAATCATGGTCAAACGCAGATACTTCAACTCCAAGCTTCTTCACCTCCGCTGACAAGGGAGCGCTCCCGGCGCATAGCTCAAGGAAAACGTATGGTTTGTCTGTCTTTGTGCCCGCATCATCAACCTTTTGAAATCCGAAAAAAAATTGAATCTGCCTTGTCAGAAAATCATTCGTAGTGTCTGCATGCATATAGGTCTCAGGCTCGCCCCCGGCACTGTTTTCAACAACAGCGTCTTCATTCGACGCTTTCCCGAGGGTCTGACAGCTATGACCCATTTGTTACAATCCCTTTTGGCAGTCTAGGGCAGGGTGAGCACGAAAACAACCCTGCACAGCGCAAACATGCAAGCCCTTCGGGCATTTCTGCCCATTCACATCACACTTCTTCAAATTGTAAGAAAAGCAAATCCTGTGCTTTTTGGGGGTCGCTGCAACGCAACTCAACTTCAAGAGATCATGTGGCATTCTGACAAAAGCTCCATTGTTCCCCTTGCTTTTTCCTTTGCCCTTTCCACCCTCATGCCTGGGTCTCTTGGCTGGTGGTTCACCTGCGTTGCTGTTTGCCTCTCTGGTTCTTTCTGGCTGCGCTGACATGCTGCTCGGTCGAGGTTGAAGCAGCGCAAGTACTTCTGATAACTCAGTGCAATCTTTGAAAACTGCATCCAAGGGCCTCCCCGTGGTTGTGCTCTTGATCCCTTCTCTCGTTTTCTCGGCCAGTATGCAAAACAGCTTCCTATCTGCTAACTCCAATTGCTTCATCGTCGTTCGGGCAAAGCCTGGAGAAGGTTCTTCCAAACGGCTCTGCAAAAGTTTCTCTGTCCAGGATTCCATCAACTTGAAGTCCAGCAAGTTCGACTGGTCAAAAGCCAAGGCTTTCCTGACCAAGCAATAGCGCACCTGAATTTCACTTCCTGTCGGGCAAGGATCTGCTTTCTGTTGTTTTGCCATTTTCAATGAACCTGAAGCATCAAAGGTAAGTGAAGCATCTTTCTTGGTCCCCGACAGCAATTCATGTTCCCTCGAAACCGCCGAGGACCATTCAACGTACTGCAATCTGTCACTGTCATAAATGCTGATGCAACGGTCTATCAATGTATCTCCAGGTTCATACTGTCCAGTGATACTGATCCCAGCTAAACGGAGTTGCTGATCTTTCAAACGGCTCGCACGCTCAGCAGGTGCCAGGCGTCTGGCTGGAGTCTCGTCCGTGGCCTCCGTCCGGGCCTTGATGTCCGATGCTACGTTGGCGTAGCTCTCATTGAACAATCGCCTCATGCAAAACAACTCAAGGGTGCTGGGGTCTCTCTTCAAAAGTTTCTTAATCAAGTCTGTAAAGGGCTTCTCATCTGGAGATCCTGGAGAAAAATTGGAGCTGAACGCAAAAAGTGCCATCGTTCTGATTCCTTCGTTTGTCAAGCATTCCACAACGTCTGTCTCCAGACCTGTTTCACCAGCTCTCTGTTTGAAAACCGCTTCACTATCTCCAAAACTCATGGCGGCAACACCCAGGTGCTCAGCTCAGGTTCACGTGTACGCATGCCATTGTCAAAACCTGACCATCCTGGAGGGACCTGTAAATCTGATACAACTGTTTCTGGCAACATGTCTCCAGTTTCGTGTCATGAATTCATAGAAATAGATGACTGCACCTACACGTTTTTGAAAATTGTAAACGTCCATGAATTCACAATCATGCAGCTTGATCCACGCCGACACATATTCACATAATGATATTCACACAAGACAGCAACATGAAATCGGATCCACAGTTCCCGCAAGGGTTCAGTCCGATATCTCATGTGCACATTCACATGCGAAAGTTTGTCTCCTGCATTGGAGTGTACTGATTTCGCTTGATATGTTTGACCTTCACACATGGTCAAACAACGCTGTCACTTTCACTTTTACCCTTGCGAGCGATCGTCAAGCTGTCATCTAAAACACAAATTGCAAAGTGGGTGCATGAAAGCTGGCTTCTCATCTAGGGCCACGTATGCGGTCCCCATCCTTCTGCCACATTTGAAAAGGTTTCCAGTTTCATCTTGCATGATATGAATGCATCTTGAAATCTTGTGCCGTGCAAAAACGGTCCCTTCATCGCCCAGGTTTTCAAGTCCTGGGTCCCACTTTCCCACAATCTCTTTGATTGCAGCTTCCTCCGGTTCCGGGTCGATCTCACTTTCGTTGTCTGAACCATCCGATGAACTCGATGAGGCGTCAGACCTTGCATCATCCAAATTTGCTTCCTCGTCCATCAAATCTCCTGGGAAGCGCCCACTTCTGGTCGAGTCAGGAAGAAAACGTCCTGCCTTGATATCTTCAAGCATCTTGCAAAGGAGCCTCAACGGCCCTGCCATCCCATCACGGCTGTAAGTGAGAAGGCTCTTGTCGCGGCCTTCGGAGTGATACCCTAAGATCCTCCTGGGGCCATCTGGCATGGCCCATTTTGCTGCCCAACTCAAGAGGGTTGCCTTGCAGCTGTGTGTCCCCAAAGGCACGCTGGAGTTGTGTGCAACTCCATTCAGCAATGCTCGAAGCCACTGGCTGCCAGCACTCACTCCCAGAGGCATCTTCGACCAGCTGTTGCTAGCCGCAGGGTTTGGGAGCAGCGGCATTCTTTCATCTCCTCTTGCAGCCCCAAAATGTTTTTCTCTCAATTCCATCCAGACTGGAATCCATGGTTGGTCAGCGAGGCACAAAGTTGGGATTGCAATCGGCAAAAACCTGCACTTCCGTTCAAGGCTCACACTTGTCTTTGTCCGGCCTGCCACGCCTTCCAGAAAGCCTTGCCTGGCATTCGGCATGTCCAAAGCCAGATGTGAGACCTGTTGAGCATCACTGTACCTCAATCTGCCGTAAACCAAGGTCAAATAAAACCCAGCGCCAATGCGATCGGTGTCTGTCCGACCTTCGTCCAGAACAATCTTCTCAAGTGCCATGACTTGTTCAACGGTCAGTGGAGGTCTCTGTATTAATTTCCTTTTCTCTGCATAGTGCTTCTGAGCGCACCCTTTGATGCGCCCTGATGCCAAAACTGTCTTCGCCCCATCCAAGCCAAAGTGAAAACTTGCAAAACTGATCGCAAGCAGCAACGACCTGTGAAAAGATGGAGCCCTATGCAGACTGCTCTTCATGTACTCATATACCAGATGTTCCGTCAATGGAAAACAGCTGCAACCCAACTGTTCATAGTAATGCACAAGCTGCAACAAAGGCGACACCCGAGCATGAATGGTTGACGTCGCCTTGTTACCAAGCGCATCCATCACGCTCTCCAAGAGGCCGCCCTGTGCCATGCTCAGTCTGTTTCCGGCCCACAGCTGTCTGCAAATCTCCCAAGAGCCAAAATGTTTGGCTATCAAGGAGGTCCACTTTTTGTAAGCTGCTTTCCTCTCCCATGACAAACGCTCTTGCCAAAGCCTCGTGTCACTGGAGGATCTCACAGCAATTCCAGCTGACTTGAACGCATCATTTGTTGTGTCACCAAGTTCTGCAAATCCAGTTTTGTTCAACTCAGTTTTGTTGCCCGGGATTGGGGGCAAGATACCTATGCTAAAAAGTTTTTCACCACGCAGTTTCTTGCTCACCTCCCACGGTGTGTTCAGGGTCAAATCCCACGGCATCTTTCTCTGAGATCTGTAATTTACAGAAGTGATGTTTTGCAAATGCATTTCATATGAAGTGCCCAAAGAAAAATTCATCGCCCCCCTAGTCCGCTTCAGAACGATCACTGGTGTCTTCGTCACTGGAGGTCCCGACCGAAGCAATGTACCACGCTGCAAGCGGCGGCGTTACCACAAGGATGTGGACAAAACCAGTCCAAGCCTGATCTCGGGGACCTGCAGGAACGATTCACTCCTATGCACAAAAGGATGAGACACGTCAGTGAAGTGCAATGGCTGTCAAAATGCATACACCAAGCAAAACCAAATAATGAAGCAAATGCCAGTGAGAAAGCCGCTGCACCAGGTGAAAAGGATCTTATGAACCCACCCAGTCTTCCGAGGTAAACCCAGGATAATGTTCTGATGAATGGCAGCAGCACCACGCTCTCGTACAGCCATGCACGGGGCAAACACAAAATTTTTAATGGGCACACCCGCCCACCCACCACTGTTTGAGGCGGCGTGGTACATATATTTCACATGAATGCCACACCAATAAAGAGATTGAATGAAACACTGTGAAACCTCATACCTTTGCCTTGAGTTGCACGTCTGATTCAGGAAACATTTTTTTTGTGCAACCCTGAATAAACATGCATCTCGATTTAAAAATTGCGTTCCAAAAGATTTCATTTGAAACACTTCGTGTCAACATGTTACACACACAACAACATGCCAAATATACACTGTATTTGTTTTGTTGTTGTGTTTTTTTGAAGGGCGTTCGCATTGTTCACTTTCACCCTTAAGCTATAAACCGCTATTAGCAAGCTAAACGCAACCAACTCGGCGATGTTTGTGTCGCCGCCAGGACAAAGGATCTCCCTGAAATTTGCGTCCTTAGTGAGAGCGCTTCGGATCTTGACCTCAGAGAAAATTCAAGAGTAAGTTGCCTAAGCAGTTCAAACCCGTTTGCTTGTTGGTTTACTGCCACTGCCACTCTGTCACTAGATCCTACTCCATGTAATGCCACACCCTCACTGAAGGCGTTCACCAACGCCACACACCTGGGGTTGTCGTGAAACGCAGCTTTTAAGATGGACATAAGCCTTCGAGACCTTGCCTGTTGTGCTCCACTGAGAGCACTCCATCTGATAGGACCGGGCCAACGGCTACTATGCTGGATTTCTACAGAAAATTCTAAACTTCCACCAGCTGCCCAGGATGACAACTCATCCAAATAGCCAGCCCAACCTAACACCTCTTCTTCTCTTGTCTTCCAAGTTCCTACTGGTGTTGGTGCCGGTGTCAACCATTTTTCGCTTTTGGCGAAGACATCCAATTGCTGTGAATTTCCATGATTTGATTGTTGAACACCAAAACCAGGCAAAACATCAAATGGCTGCGGAGTCACAAACGACGAATCAGCTGCCCTACCAAGACCATCACCAAACACTTCTGGAACCCCTCTTCTCTGTTGCATAGTTACAAAACGATCTTGCATATGCTGCTGCACTGTCTGTAGCTGTCCCTCACTCATGCTACCTAACATGGCCATGACCTCTTGGATCTGCGCCGCCTTAGGCGTCAAACCTCCCAAGCTCGCTCCAACCGGGCCACTCGGCATGTTTCCTTGGCAACTCATTGGGTTCACTCCTAAGTTTGGAAAACTTCCAGACCTTGGTCCACCAGGCATACTCGCACAACCAAAACTCGGTACACACGCTTGCGAATTCTGTTACATAAACGTTTGTTGTTGGGGAATCCATTGCGCACCAAACCATGCTGGTCCCTGTCCTTGCATTACGGGCATGTTTCCTTGTTGACATCCCTGCACCGGATACCCTTGACCACTTGCATCCAGGTTTGTCGTGCTCGCAAATCCCTGTACGTTCTGTGACACATTTGCTTGTTGTTGCTGTGGCTGCTGCTGGGGCATGTTACTTGTTTCAGGCGTTTGTCCATCCATCCCAGATCCACTACCTTGCTGACTAGGCGTTCTAGGCACTGGCGGCAATCCGTCACTACGGTTACAACCACCATTTCCGGTGCCAGGTGGCAATCCGTCACCACGGTTACAACCACCATTTCCTTCACCTCTTTCAGCCATACCAGGACTAGGACAACCTTGCACACCTTGGCTCACACTACCTGGATCCATTCCTACTACGCCTCTACGAGCTGCAAGCAGGCAGCTCCGCTACCATGCGGAAGGCTACAGGCCTTCGAAACCTCTACTTGGGTCAGCGTCCAGGACGTCGTCCTTAACTCACTAAGACCGTCCACGCAACCAAGTCAACCACTCCCAGAGCTCAGCCACTTTTACACACACAAGCACAGGAACAAGATGTTTGCTCATGTCGCTATGGTTCTTGTTGGTGTGTCACGCCTTGACACAAAATGATGCGGAGTCGCCAGTTGACATCTTTCTGTCAACTTTACAAAAGCGATCAAAAACACATGTCCTCACAAAAAGTCTTTACATCAAGACATGGTTTGTTTGTTTAAATAAGTTTGAGTGTTTGAAAATTGTTGAAATATTTCAAGCACCAAAACATGATTCATGATGTCTCCCTCAGATCTGTTGGCAACTCTGGTTCTGAATGCCTTTCAGAACGTTGCTCTCGCTATCATCATTGAGAGATAAAACAAACTAAACTTCTCCGATCAATGTCAAACAAAGTTCCTTCTTCCGAAGTTACAAAATGAATTCTACGATCTTCTCACGATTCCTTCGTGCACTTCTGCAATCATTCTGCGATCGTTCTGCCATCGTTCTGCCGGCAAAAACTAAAGCAAAACATATGGAAAATGGTTTGATTTTCCATGTCACTATACAAATTCAAATCCTCACGATGTTCTCCATGCAATCAAAGTACTCAAAGCAGACGAAAAGTATCTCGTTGTTGGGTTTCGTCATCTCCAATAAAACGTGCAGAACATGAAACGTGCAAATACAATGTCAACCATCACGGTTGAGATGGTGAGCTCACGATGACAAACAAATTCACTTCTTCCAATGCAGAAAAGACCAAATGGATTCATCTCACCACAGATGTCGGACATCTCCTCACAGATGTCATATTTTCACACCTTCACATCTGCAGATCTACACCTTCACACCCTCACATCTGCTGATCTACATCTTCACACCTTCACATCTGCAGATCTACATCTTCACACTTCACACCTTCATCTGCAGATCTACATCTTCACACTTTCAAATCTGCAGATCTACATCGTCACACCGTCACATCCGCTGATCTACATCTTCACACCTTCACATCTGCAGATCTACATCTTCACACTTCATACCTTCACATCTGCAGATCTACATCTTCACACTTTCAAATCTGCAGATCTACATCGTCACACCGTCACATCCGCTGATCTACATCTTCACACCTTCACATCTGCAGATCTACATCTTCACACTTCATACCTTCACATCTGCAGATCTACATCTTCACACTTTCAAATCTGCAGATCTACATCGTCACACCGTCACATCCGCTGATCTACATCTTCACACCTTCACATCTGCAGATCTACATCTTCACACCTTCACATCTGCTGATCTACATCTTCACACCTTCACATCTGCAGATCTACATCTTCACATTTTCACATCTGCAAAAGGTAAACACGGTCCTTCCAGGCCTAGACGCACAGTTTCGAGCTGCCCAGCCAAATGAGCAAGCGCAACTCCCTACAATAGTGGGCCCCCAGCTCCTAGAAGGCACAACAGTAAATTTTCCACGGTCCTTAGTCCGTCTTGCCTGGATACTGCAACATGCCGTCACCCTCCTACCCATGGCAGGTGACATTCAAGCAGTAATTAACTCCCAGACAGCTGGTGTAAGCGACATCCATGCGTGGGGGCTTATGCTGCCATCTAGCTCGAGAGTGAGTCCCATCACATACCACTCAGTCGTTGCGGTCAGGTACCCAGACCTCTGCAGATTCATAAACAGCGTCTGGGAACTGGGAAGTTTCGCTTCAGGCGGACTCCCTAGCAGACCCCCAGGATTCCAATTCGTGCTCTGGGACACCAATGCCAGAATCAACGGACTGGTCGCGGTAGATCTGGAGACGCTCGTGTCACAAGTGCTCTCTGACTACCCCCCGAACGCAGGCTTTGCGAATGGACTTTTCGTACCGGCCACCGACCACAAGAACAACCTCAACAGCTCCACCCTGAAGAAAAAATATGCCCGCACACTGCGAGTGGAAACTATTGCTAATTCAGCAGGAGGCACGGCAGAAGTTGCAATTGTGGCCCAGCCAAGCACAGGATTCCTCAATGGAAGGTTCTACCCAGATGGCTCCCCCACGGAAGACACCGAAGACTGCTGCAAGTGCAATGAGCTTCTGCTTGGCCTTTACCTGACGATGTCCAAAGAAGTCCATTGGTCCATCTGTGATACCAATGATGAGTTCAGCATCCCATTGATTGTTGATCTTCCTGACCGCTTTTGTTCCAATGATGGTTTGGCCATCTGTGCAAATGAGGTCCATCCTGGTCCATCCCTGATGTATCTTTCCCCAGCCAACAACCTTTCCTCCATGCTGGTTTGAACTTCGTTGCTTTGGGGTCAAGACCAAAGACTGTCTGGCCAAAGGATGCTGCTTTTCCATGGTAAGGTCGGCCGCGCAGAGAAATGGTGTCACCTTCATTGTCGCATGAACTTGATACCGGTTGTAAAGCCATGCCGCATGCATTGCAGCCCATTGAATCACTGGATGACCATCTGGAATTGCAACCTTCAATTCATCTTCAATGTGACAAAGTAAGGTTTTCTGAATCCCTCTGACAGATTGAACACACCTCTCGGCTATGCTTGTTCGAGCTTTGTCACCTACCTTGTTTGGACAGAGATGTGTCGTGAGCTCGTTGTTGGCTCGCACTGATTTGCAAAAATTGGCACCTGCAACCAAAACAGGTTCATTGTCAAATGCCAACTCCACTGTTCCATCCCTGACACGTTATCAGCTGACAACAGCATGGATGTTGGTTGAGATTCCTTGCAGAATTGTCAGGGAGGATCTTTACAGACAACTGGAAC